GTTAGGGCTATGGGTAAAGTACTAGCAAAATTTGAGATAATCATCTAAAGACATGAATTTTGAAACTCTGATTTGACCTGTGAAAACTGTAAAAATAATTGCCCTATAAGGGAAATCAGCTTGAAGTAACAAAAATCTAACTAATATAAAAATGTTAGCATGTAAGTAAGGTTCTAACAAAGAACCTGCTGGTGAAACAAGGAATTTCAACTCAAGGCAAACTCTTGTGCATCCTTTCCTAGCAGTGTATGATATTGCTCATCAGTGGTTTGTTTTCAGTAAAGTAGATGAAAAACTTATGGAAATAAATTGAACCCCAGGACTCAGCAGTGCTTGCTGTGAATGGTGTAACCTTGCACGGTGCTTTGAAAGGCCCTGATTGTCACTAAGAGCCTTTCAGAAAGGAGGTGTCTTTGCACTCCTGACCACGACAAACCCGCACAGTTGTTCAGTGTTGAGCAGCTTCTGTGTTGGCTCCGATGTGATGCTTTGGGTATTGGGAAGGTGAAATTCCCAGAGACGTAAAGAAGTGGCACAAGGGAGATGCTGGTCTGGCAGAAAGTTTACTGACAAATGTTGTTCACCTTACAACTGTGTAAAAATGTGATGACCAGTGGTTCCTAACAGGGAGCCATCCCTTTGGGTGAAGGAGTCAAGAGCTGAACCTGTACCTAGCTCTGGAAATCAGGTAGATATCTTAGAAAAGACTGAGTGTAGGTACTGGAAAGAGTAGGACAGGTGAGAGAGGCGGAGTAGTTCTCGAGGGATTGGGAATTTAGGAGCTGTCTGCAGCCCTATGCTATTTGAACAGAGGCGGAAGAGCTTACTCCAGTGGGACTCATAATTTCCAGTGATCTCAAGCAAGCTTTGACTACAAAGAGATTGGAAATCTGTGATCTGAGACTTGCACTGCCTTAATGTAATAACCCTAGTGGAAAGTCTACAGCCATGGATATGGCCTGTGATGCTAAATATCAGAGAATATTTAAAGCCATAAATATTTCATTTGAGTCAGAATCCACAATGGAGTAGCCTGGACAAGGGAGCATTTCTAAAAGGAAAAGAGAGAAATAAGGTAAAGATAAAAGGAAAAAAAAAATAAAAATGAGATAGAGGGAATTAAATGAGTTGACCTGTGTAATGATGTAACCCCAAAGACTTCAGAGTTCTGTGGCCTTAGCTTGAGAGGTAAAGGAATAGCAGGATTTAAGGATGTGGTAGCTTAGAAAAGGCTTTATGCCCAGGTTTTTTTTACTTGGGAGAGACTTTTTGCATTCTGACCTGGATAAGAGGTGACAGCGAGTTATTACACAAGTTTAGCAACACTGACTTGGTGGGACTCATAATGGCTTGTGGGAATAGCTGACAGGGGAAGAGCTGGAGACTGTAGGAGCAGTCTGTATCTGAAGATTAGGAGGCACCTAATTAGGAGCACCTTGTATGTGAAGATTCTTGTCTAGTGGTGAGACTGCCCCATTTTCAGCTGCAAATGAATTAAGATAGATTTAAAACATGAAATTTCCAGCAATAAAGACTTTTGTGTCCTCTTTACCTTCATTCTTGAAGTGACTCTCACCTTTTGGGAAACGGATAAGGAAGAACCACTGTGCTCGAAGGACTTGTTCATGTCTTCCGAGATCTCCCCTGCTCTTTTACCTACTGTAGCATCTGGTTGTGGGTTGTTTCTCAGTGTTTTACCAAGTGTCTAGAGAGTGGAAGGTAGCATAGAGTAAAATAATTATTTTGAAAAAAATTAGGCCTGGTGTAGTTTTACATCCCTTTCAGGCTGTTTTCTTGTGGTGGCTGGTCATAAAGGAGAATCAGATTCTTACCTTCTGAGAAAGAATGCCTTCTCTGCATGGCTTTTACCCACACAAGATGTCTCATCAGTGAGGGGAGTACAAGTACATGTCCTTAATATGCAGGAACCAACTGTCTGAACAGTGGCAGTGTGAGGCACAGAGAAGTGCTGGTGTGAGAAAGCATATGGTCTTGGTGCTGGATTTCCAGGCCTTTTGCCTTTAGTATGGAGAAAATGAATTGTGATGCTGAATTTCACATCTTTTATCTGAGTGGAGAATATGTAAATTATCTTTGCATGACAACCTGTCCTGCCCATCTGCAGAGCTGTATGTGCAGAGCGTATTGTACCCTTATAGGAAGAAAATGTTACGCATTTGTACTTATGGAAAAAGAGTGTGAAATGGGTAGATCCTGTGAAGAAATACAGCTAATGCCTTGCCATTAGGTAAACTGGAATGTCAAAATTCTATGAGCTTGGACAGTCTCTTAAAAAGGTCATATCTTTTGCACTTCATCTTTATAGTAATTGCATCAGTGAACATCCTATCATTCCTAGTGTTTAAGTTCAGGATGGTAGGAAAAGTATCTTCCTAGTCAGAAATATCACTAGATGAAAGAAGTTTTGAAGATGTCACTTTACACAAAATATTTTCTAGGAGGAAATTAGGAAAGGGTCTGTTTTGTGAAGTTCAGCAAACTCCTCCTGGCCATTCCAAAAGGAACTTCTTGAGCCTCCCACACCTTTTTATAACTGTTTTTCTTCACTCCTTAAAGAGTATTTCTAAACTTTTTTGGGACTCTCAAGTCAGACATTGTTTTGCCATAACAGAATGATTTGGTCCCTGTGCTGTTCCCCATAATTCTGTTTGAAAGAAGCTTTGAAGGAATTTTTCTAGTAAAGTGTCAGCATTCCCTGCTGGACTTACATTGCTCCCTAGTAAGGGTTTGCGAGAGAGCTGAGTCTCACTGCAGTTATACTTGTCAAGACCAGATGCCTCTTCTATTAGGAATAAAAAAAAGGCAATACCATTTCCAAATATTAGCTGTTTGCTTTCTTAAAAAAAAAAAAAAAAAAAAAAAAAAAAAAAAAAAAAAAAAAAAAAAAAAAAAAAAAAAACAA